GTTTGATTCAAGTAATAACTTGATTATATAAATAAAGATGACTTGATTTGTTAATTTTGATCATATTGATCTATAACTAGAAGTAATTAATTCTCATGGTCCCATTGGAAGAAATAAATTAAGCAACAAAATCTAGATTTCATCTACCTAGAGATGTGCACTTGAGACTGATGGTGTTGAAGAAAGATTCTTTAAGGGCTCCAGAAATATATAAAAGGATTAAAGCCATTAATGTGTTTATTCATTTGATTTTACATTGAATACTTATTTATTCTGCAGACACTTATTGTCTATTACTTGCTAGCCACTGATTTGGACAAAGGGGGTGATGAAAATAAATGAAATCTCTGCCTTCATTGTGCTGCACTCTAGGGAGAGAAAGGTGAAGATACACAGATTATAATATGAAGTCTGATAAGCACTATGCCTCTCTTTAGTATAAAATTTAAAAGCACAAAGCTGAAGGTTTGGATCGCAATCCAGATACTTGCCAAAAATGGTAGTATATTCTATGTTACCCATATAAAGTTGTTGCTTTAAGTAAATAGAGGACTATAAGCACATGTAATTTAGAACTGTTAATACAATCCCTGCTGATACATAGTAAACATTCAGTAGGTTTTAACTATTATTATAGGACAGACTAGTATGGAGTGAATAAACAATAAGGGCTTTGGGGAAAAAGATGAGCCCTAAATTTAACCGGGAAGAATGAAAACCAGGCAAATGAGGAGGAAAGTCCTCCTGAACCAAAGGAGGAGCATCTGACAAGACAAAACAAGTATGATACTGAGGAATAAATTTAGGAACCTGTTATTGTTTTGACTGAAGTACAAGTGCTTTGAGAGAACTAGAACAGGATACTAGTGTCTTCTTGTTTTGGAGAAACCAGGTATCATGATAACGTTGAAGGTGGGGTGAGAACAAGTGTCCCCCAACACTCTCCACTCCCCCTATTAGACTATAGCTACTAGAAATAACTACTTGATGACAAGCATTTTGCTTAGGGCTGGAGTAATGAATTAGATTTGAAACCCACTTTCAATGAGTTAACCACAATGACCTTTTTTAAATTTTTGTATTAACATATAATGTATTATTTGCCCCAGGGGCACAGGTCTGTGAATCACCAGGTTTACACATTTCACAGCACTCACCATAGCACATACCCTCCCTAATGTCCATAACTCAGCCACCCTATCCATGCCCCGCCACCCCCCAGCAGCCCTGTTTGTTTTGTGAGATTAGAAGTCTTTTATGGTTTGTCTCCCTCCCCATCCCATCTTGTTTCATTTTTTTCCTTCCCTACCCCCCACAACTCTCTGCCCTGCCTCTCAAATTCCTCATATCAGGGAGATCATATGATAATTGTCTTTCTCTGATTGACTTATTTCTCTCCGCATAATATGCTCTAGTTCCATCCATGTCATTGCAAATGGCAAGATTTCATTTCTTTTGATGGCTGCATAGTATTCCATTGTATATGTATATACCACATCTTCTTTACCCATTCACATTTTTTAGTAATTTCTAATATACACATACTGTTTGAAGTGATCCCATATATCAATCCATTTAATCCTTAAAACAAGTCTATCAGCTAAATATAATTCTTTTTTTTTAAAGATTTTTATTTATTTGACACACACACACACACACACACACACAGATCACAAGTAGGCAGGGAGGCAGGCAGAGAGATAGGGGGAAGCAGGCTCCCCACTGAGCAGAAAGCCTCATGTGGGGCTCAATTCCAGGACCCTGAGATCATGATCTGAGCTGAAGGCAGAGGCTTAACCCACTGAACCACCTAGGCGCCCCTATCAGCTAAATATAATTCTTATTTCCTTTTTACAAGTGAAGAAACTGAGGCACAAAATTGTAAGTCTTGTTCACCATTTTATCCTTAAGGTCAGGCATCATAATGTCTGACATCAGAATTTTTCAATACATATTTTTAACAAATAAATTAATAATGACCAGATGAATCATGTCAAAACCTGACTTTTTTGGGGCTAGGGTTGCACATACATAATCAGGTCACTGTCTCACTGGTTATATTATGAGATGATTATAGGACAATGATTCTCAAACTTTCTGATGCCTGATTACTTCCAGAGGTTCTTCCTGAAAATCTTAATTCATTAAGTCTGGACAGAAGCCCATGAATCTGCATTTTTAATAGGGAATCTCAAACACTTTATTCTAAGATACTACCTGAACAAATTCTGGAAAACAGAAATTTCCTGTGCACCATGAGTTGATAGTCATTGCAGCTAGATACAAAATGAGTGATGGTGGTTGTAGCTCAGACTATCAAAGGAAGGAGGAGGGGAATTGTGACTTCAAAGACAGTGTAAAGGAATCATCAACTACAGTGGAATCTGGTTACCTGTTTCCTTCATACATACTTCAGGGCTTCTCAACTTCATTTTATCTACAATTTGAACTTTATAATTCTTTGTTGTAGGACATCTTTCTTTTGAATTTTAGACCATGTAGCAGCAACTCTGGACTCTACTCCTGGATGCCAGTAGCTTACAACACACCCCCCAATTTGTGACAATGGAAAATATCTCCAGATATTGGTAAATAGCTCATGGGGTCAAATGACTGAAGTTGGAAATGACTGCCACAATGGAATACAGAGAGCTTTCTGCAGTTCCTCACCTATAGCAATTTCTGGCCTCAGAATCTGGAATTGTGCATGACACCTGATCTGTTTTCTCTTGAGTATTATCTTGTGAGATACTATGCTTTGTTTGATAAGTATAGTATACTTACTTGGCTTTTTCTGGGACTCACAATATATGTCACCCCTCCAATCTGGTTTATTAAATCAAATGAAACATAATATCAGGGTCAAGACATGGCTGATATTCAAAATAATTATTCCTTCTTTAGGTTCGGGAAGTCTCAGATCCCTTTTACTCAGTTTACGGGGAATTATAATTAACAATGGCAGCAGAATTGGATCAGTTTTCCAGAAGATATATGTTATAGAAAGGAAATAAAATCAAAGAGATAGAAATAGATAAAATTGCTTGAAAGAAAGGAGTGAGATAAATTTGAAAATATTTCAGCATAAAACTGTCAAAAATCCAGAGTTTGGAAAATATAGGAAATTTCCCAGTCTGGAAATTACTCCAGGCCTTTATCTTCCGTAAGAGTAAATAGGCAACATGTAATCATGCAAGGGTATATCCTTCACCCTTCCTCTATTAATTTCACTTAACTGTACTCAGCTTCTTTCAGTTATATATAAGAACAATAAGAGTGAAACCATGTTAAGAATTTTTGATGGAAGAACTATCGACTACTATTGTATAACACTATGCAGTATCATATTCCCATTAAAATATGCAAAAATCTTACCTAATCTTAGCATAATGCAAAGAGTAACAAGGCAAGTGTTTGCTATTCACTACATACCTCTAGTGAATTAATTTCTAGTTCCCTGGCTAATCAGATCAGTGAGTTAGTGTGGGCATCCAATGAAACAGTTAAATAGCTATACAAAGTACATTCCTAATTAAAGCAGAAAAAGAAAATCTACTCAGATTTATATTGACTTCAACTTTTAACTAAATTTATTCACCTCACAATCTATTATAATGAAACTTTATTGTTAAATAAATTATTTGGTATGAGTTACCTTGACTAACATGCTTTGTTGAAAAGAATAATGCTGCCTAATTAATGTTTAGTAGGAGAAGAAAAACAAGGACGTCAATACTATTTTCAGAGACTAAAAAGATGGAGAATCAGTCAGAGAGGAGAGAAAAGCCCAGTACTGCACCGTTATTCTGGGCCAGGAAATATCTGTAGCCTTGTTCCTGCCATCCAGTTCCTTTAAGTGATTTCAGAAGATAAGGTAGCAAGAGTTACCCTATGCTTATGCACAAACACTGTTTCTTCTGCCCTGAATTATTTGCCTGGAGACAAATACTCTCTTTTTATCTGCCTGTTCACCCTGAAACTGGTCAATTGCAGGTGGTTGTGGGGTAACTAATGAGACAGCCTAAGACCTCACCTCCAGGTGGCTTCAGTGGGAAGCAGGGATTGAGGAAGGCATAAAGGCAGATGATGGCTGGGCAGAGACAGCCTGTTTCTACAACCAGCACCACCACTGTCTTGCCTCTACAGTTGTTCAAGCTGCCAGAGGCTTCTGGTTGCCATGGCAACTGTTGGGCTCTGCTGCAAACTCAAAGCAGAGCCTCTGAAGTTGGGTACCAAACACGGGAGCTCAACAAACGGGAAGGCAACTGGGGAGGGAGCAGAGAGCAAGGATTACCCATGTAATAGGTCTCAGCTCCTGTGGCTAAGAGGACCATTTTAAAATAGAATTTTTTCTTTCTGTTTCTGTAAAATGAGATAGTTCTTGCCAGGCATTATTCCGGAGCATGATTTAGTGCCCTGAGAGAGGAGACTGCCAATCTTTTCACTCATAAAGGCAGCGGAAGGGGGGTGGAAACGTGATTATCCGGAATGCACCGAGCCCGCTCATTCATTCATTCAATTAGATATTCAGCATCTCCTGAGAGCTCATTTGTGCCGGGCACTGTGCCAGGTGCTGGGACTGCAAAGCGAAATGAGACAACGCCCAACACTCACAATTAACAACGATAATTAACAAAAATTAGCAGAACCATCGTGAGCCTGGGGAAAACGGATTAGGTACTGTGTAAGCTTGCCACGCGTCTCTCTGGGAAGGCAGACTCAGAATTCAAACGCGGGAGAAAGAGAGGCAGTGGCCCCCGAAATAGTGTCAGGCAGGAGGGAAGGCCAGGGGGAAGAAGGGAGCTTCTTTCCCCAGGGAGGGAATCTGTCAAGGCCACGCAAACGTTTCTCTGAGGCTGAGAGAAAGAAGAGGTTTGTTTTTCTTTTGGGAAAAACGGAGCCCTTTTCCCCACTGGGCTCGATTTCTAGTAGGAGAAGCCCCGCCTCTTTGGGCCGTAGATTGGTCCAACTCTTTTTCAGACAATTTATGCCAGCATCCTCTGTGTCTGATTGGCTCCCCGGCTCAATTCCGCTGGGAGTCGCATCCTACCTGGCTGGGAGGTGTACTGCCGTGCCACACTCATCCCCACCGTACTCTCCTGGCTGGTGCTGAGGTGGGAGAAAAAGTCCTAGCTTGGAGAACTGAGCGGAGAAAGCGATCCTGATGGGTTCTTGGAAAGCTTTTCTCTTCTCTCCTTTTCTTCTGTGGAGTCAAAGTAGAGTGGTGAGGCTCATGTTCTTGTTACTGACCCTGCATCTGGGAAACTGGTGAGTAAATTCAAGGACTTAAAACTATTCTTTGGGATCAACCCCCTTCCCCTTCATTTCTTTTTCTTTTGGAAATCATTCTAAGTTAAGTAATTTGCATTTCTCTGGGCACAAGCGCAATATTTTACCATCGTTTTATTTTCTGGTTAGATACATTTATTTTCAGATAGGATGAGATGAGCCTATGTGTGAAAGCATGGGAGGCAGTTCAGTTTTGGATTTGTTTTGTTTTGTTTTGTTTTGGCTTGTTTGACTTGGCACAGTGGAAACTAGTAAAGGTTCAGTTCCTAGGAGGGGGAGTAGAAATGATTTTGGTACTAAATTTAGCCAATGAATGTCATTGATGAACTTTCTGGATAATTCTGCATTTTAAAGAGAAAGTTATTTTAGAGACTTGTTACACAACATGGTATGTATGATGCTTTTCTATAAGTATATATTGCTTTTCCCCTTTATTATTATTATTATTTTGCTTTTCTGGAAAAACCCAAAGTTACATATGGAGAGAGCTTATAAATATGGTTTAAAAACCAGGGTTAAGAGGGTGTTATGTTAGAGATGACATGTATATTTTATTGAGCTATCTGTATAATTTTTGAATGTGTGTGTGTGTGTGAGTGTTTGACAGAGAAAGAGAGACAGAGAGACAAAGAGAGAGACATTAGCAACCCCAAGCCTCCAGTTTAACAGGAACAGGATCTGGGCTCCTTTGGCTGTAATATCTTCCAATAAAACTTTGAAATCATTCTGACAGAAAAATAAAATGCCCAGGTATTGCACCTGGATATAAGAGTAGTGGTTGAAAGGAGTTAAAATATATTAAGACACAGACTCTATTATGGTCTTGGACATACTATTCCCATCATGTAACTGTGTTTTATATGAATGCACATTTAACATTATATTATTGTATTATGTGATACTGTTTAGAACTCAAGAGTAAAATGCAATCACTATGCAGATGAAAACATGTCTTTATAACTACTTGCATCATTACTAAAACAAAATTATTATGATTAACTTTACTATATATCTAGAGTGAATATTTTTGTCATTATCAGCAGATAGAACAACTATATCTTCTCTCCAAAAACAGAGAATGGATTAAAGTATGCAAAGCAATATTAGACTTGCCAGAAAATGTTTGACATATGATTTTTTAAAGTATTACAGTTTTAGTTTATTTACCTTTCTCCCTAGAAACTTAAATTTATTCTGCATGGACACAAACATACTACTGACTAATTATTTCTTGCATATAAGTCATATCATAATCACTTATTTCTTTGAATATATTATAAAATTATAGAAGATATTTTGGCTGATCATGTATCAGTGTTTTCATGCATCTTCATAATATTACAAATGAATCTGTATTCTCATAAATAAAAACAGATTTACCCAGTGGGTTTCTGAAATAACAACCTGTATGCTCCTTTGCCATTATAACTGCAAGTTTTCCTTGGAAACTAATAGACAAGCTGATCATTGAAATATCTAAAACAAAGCATCTAAAGAAATAATAAAGGCATAACATCTTTTGTTTTTGAGGATATTTACATTACAATTTTCATAATTGGCTCCAGAACTCTCTTCAAGCTGTTCAGAGGTAGTTATGTAGTATAGCTGACACAGATGGGTTCTGGAAGTCTGGAGACATGATCTGTGTCAAGACTCCTTACCTTCTTTAAATACTTAATTCATCTAGGAAATGAAGGGCAGTAGATCATTTGTGATTTCTACAAGTTTACATTATCAATATGTTTTAGACTTGAACTGAAACATAAAACAACTCAATGGTTGCTCTATTGGTTTTTCTTTGCAGTTTTAAAGAGTAAAATATAATTGGAATTCCATGTACTTTTTTTTTTTACCATATGGAAGAGTTAGTGAGAGAGAAGTGTTATGCACTTAAAATAGATAAATAATTGATTTTATCATAATAGTGTAAGTAATTTGGATTATTCTGGCCAATCAATAAAAGAATATTCAAAGGGCGCCTGGGTGGCTCAGTGGGTTAAAGCCTCTGCCTTCAGCTCCGGTCATGGTCTCAGGGTCCTGGGATCGAGTCCCGCATCGGGCTCTCTGCTCAGCGGGGAGCCTGCTTCCTCCTCTCTCTGCCTTCCTCTCTGCCTACTTCTGATCTGTCTCTGTCAAAGAAATAAAAAAAAAAAAGAATATTCAAAAGTAAATCTATATGTTTCTGTTATAATTAGCTGTCAGGGCCTCCATGATGAGAGTTTATATCTTCACTTTAAAGTAGCTACAGTTGTGGTGAAGTTCTTACCCTATTAATATTTAGCTGGAGATAACTGGTGTCAACATGTATAAACCAGTTACATTTATATTTTCATCTCCCTTTCTTATTTGGGAGGGCCTTTCTTTTAAACTAATCATAAATGGTTCTGTATATAAGACTTTTGTTGTCTTATGTTGGTTTCTAAAATAAATATTCAAAGTCACCTATTTAGAAATTTACCAAACTGGAATTTGTTATTTCTTATATTTAATCAGAGACAATAGCTTGTTTCCTCATTAGTTTCCATCAAATGCATAAAGGAGAGACACTATTGATTTTTATATTGCTGAAGTATGAAAGCCTATCCTATTGTTGTAACTGAAAGCTGTACTCATGGTTCCTGTGTTTCATTCTCCGTGAGGCTCCATGGCATCTTGAGAAGTTGGTTAAAATTTCTTAGCTAGATTTGACTTATTTATAATGTTGGAAAAATCTAATTCTAATCAGATTTTTAAGGAGAGTTGAAAAAGTGCTTGGAGGCTTTAGTTGTTCTAAGAAGTAATTTATGATAAGCTTTGACTAAGCAGTTATATTTGAGAGAGCCCAGGGAAAATAACTTGTTTTTTCCAAACAATTTCATGAGTCAATAATCATACAATTTAACAGTCAGTTGCCCAAATGAAAATATTCAAATACACTTCCTTTATAAAATGTATTATTTTCAAGTAATTTCAGTAATGTATTTTGTGGAGGTGGTAGTGAATGATTTTTCTTTAGGCATTTAGAGTTTTGACTTAATTTTCTAATAAAATACTGATGCAAACTTGAGGACAAAATTACTGAATAATGATGTTCCATGACAATAAAATATTCAAAGAACCAATAGACAAAATTCTTCTGGAACTAAAATGCAAATACTATAATAGAAAAATCCCCTGTGTATAGAGTCTTTTAGCTATATCCCTCTTCTATTTTGTTTCATTATATACTATCAGACATACCTCTGCCTAAGCAACAAAAGCGAATGTTAGACTTTTCATTCAATCATGAAATAGACTAATCTAATATTTTATAGTTATATAAAGGTGATTAGAATTTGTCTAAGAAAATATTAATGATGGCAGGGTCCCAAAGGAGAGGAGACAAGGCAAGGTGGAAAAGTGGGGAAAAAAGGCTCTTGAGATATTATCAAAATATGATAAATGACTATCATGAGAGAAAGAGGAAAGGTGGGCATAAATTAAATGTATGGGCCTCAGGGGGATAATTCACATATACACAAGGTACCAATTGAGAATCCTGGACTTGGCCATTAGAATGTAAATTCTGGTTTTAGCTCCACCATTTCCCACTAGGGTGATTTCAGGAAGATCTTTGAGGCAGAGAGTTCTCATTTGTGAAAATGGAAATGACATTCTCCTTTCTAGCTTGCTTCAAGACCAAGAGAGAAAATTTGTGCCAAGTACATAGCACTTAAAATTTTAACTGAAAAGATACAACAACAGATATTCTGAGAATTACAGTGATTCTAGTATTATTTATACTGGTTAAAGTTGTCTCAATTGCAGTAAAGTCCTTGAATCCTTATGCATTATTAGATATGTTTTGGGTTCCAGAGAGATCATTCATTCTTTTATTTTTTTAAAAGATTTTATTTATTTATTTGACAGACAGAGATCACAAGTAGGCAGAGAGGCAGGCAGAGAGAGAGAGGAAGGGAAGCAGGCTCTCTGCTGAGCAGAGAGCCCGATGTGGGGCTCAATCCCAGGACCCTGAGACCACGACCTGAGCCAAAGGCAGAGGCTTAACCCACTGAGCCACCCAGGCACCCCTCATTCATTCTTTTAATCAACAAATATTTCTTGAAAGCCTGTTATGTGCCATACACAGCGCAACATGCTGGGTTTACAGTGGCAAATAGACTAGACATGAGTACTACCTATATGTAGTTTATACTCACTGCCAAGGCCTAGATTATGGTATTACTCAAACCAAAACATCTTGTAGTCACAGTAAGGAAACATACACTCAGAATTCCAAGGCTGAACAAAACGGTCTGCTGTTAGAAAAGATCTCAGTCAAGGAAAGAAAATTAGAGAGCCATGAGATTTCTCATCACAGTACCAGAAGACTATGGGGGAAATGTTTCCAAAATTATAAAGATAAATGTTCAACCTAGAACGTTATACTTAGTCAAGTAACCAGTCAAGTATGAAGGGATAATACTGCTCAGATACTGTTCTTCTCCCTATTTTGCAGATGGGAAAGCTGGGGCACAGCAATTTTTAGGAACGTGCTTATTGCTGCTAAATGCTGAATCCAAGACTCAAGTCCGTGTGTTTTATGCCCAGAGCCTGCATTCTTTCACACTTCTCAGATTACAAATGCAATATAAGTTACAGCAAATAACATGACTATGGATGAATGAGAAAAAAAGGAAAAGAGGGATGTTAGGAGTAAGGAAAGGAAAGAACAGACAATGTCATTGGTAGAAGCATAGTAAGTATAAAAATCTACTGTGTACCTATCACATAATCTGGAATATTATGTGTAGTGCTAGATTAATTATTTTAGGAAAAACTTCAACAAAGTGGAACACTTGATCTAGAAGGAATATCATAGGTTAAAGAGTTAAAAGGAATAATTTGGAATTCAGATAAGTTTTTTTTTTGAGGACTCAGATAGCAACTTATTTTTAAAGATGCTATATAAAATCATGGTTGAATTTATTACACATAGGTATAGCAAACAAACCATAAGC